CTTTAAATGTATCATGCCATTTCTTCCTGGCCAGCAAAGTTTCTGCTGAAAAAATTGGTGTTAGTATTACTGCCAGGGAAAAGGGGAGGAGGGGAAAGTTTATATAAAACAGGTTGTTTTTCTCTTGGTGCTTTTAAGTTTCTCTCCGTGTGTTTAACTTTGACACGTTAATTACAATGTGTCTTTGTGTGGGTCTCTCTGGGTTCATCTTTTTTTGGAACTCTAAGCTTTCTGTATCTGGATGCCTGTTCCTCCCTGGGTAGGGAAGTTTTTAGCCATCATTTCTTCAACAATTTTTCTGCCCCTTTCTTCTCTTGAGATCCCTGTCATGCAAATGTTTGGTCCAGCTAGTTTTTGAGGGTTGGTTTTTTTCCCAGAGGAAATTCACCATATTGTGGCTATAGATTTGGTGTATCAATGGAAGGAGGTGAGTGTAGTATCTTCCTACACCACCATCTTGAACCAGAACCACTCATCACCTTTTTCCAGATTAGTAATTTTGTCACATAACTTCTATATTTTTACTTTCAGTACTTTTAAGCTTTCCTGGTTCTTATGTTTGAGATATATCACTTGTAAAGAGTTCATGTTTTCCTCCTAATCCATTCTGATAATATTTGTATTTTAAGTGACCTGTTTAGTACATTTAATAAAACTTGAATGTGATTTCTAGACGTGGCCTTGAACATTAATAGGATTTCACCAGACTGAGAATGTATGGAAAACATTTCAGGCAGAGGAATTAATATGAAAAAGCTATAAAGAAACATAGAAGTGAACTTCATGCCAGGATGAAGGTCAGATGTTAGACCTCTTGGGACAGACAGAAGTGGCAGAACATTAAGCAGCCAAGGAGCCTTGGCAAAGAGTTTAGACAGCTCTTTGGTCTTCACTGTAGTCCCTTACAAAGTCTGGAACAAATGCAAAAAATGACCAAATTTTTTTAAAGCAGTGCCTGGTACTTTAATAGAGTAAAATGAAAATACAAGATGCAGTTCTTGCAATTGTTAACCAGCTAATGCTATTGAAAAGATCAAGCAAGATATTTTAATGGTAATAATGATACAATTAAGAGTACAGAAAAATGAAAAATAAATCGCATTCAGTAAAAACAGAGGTTCCCTAGGTGAAAATAAATCGCATTCAGTAAAAACAGAGGTTCCCTAGGTGAAAATGGGACTGGTGTCTGACACAACATATTGTAATGGTATTGTTTCTTGTCTTCCTTACTAGCCCATGACCTCCTTCAGGTAAGGATTGCATCTTTTCTGTGTCTTCAGAGCCTGCCAGCAGTCGTTCTTACAGTGGAGTAGGTACTAAACAGGTGTTGGAGGAGTGATCACGGCTGTTTCCTGAGCAGTGAGAAGCCAGGCTAACATAGCAAATAGTGAATTCTGCTGCATGGAGCGCGAGGATGGTCAGGATGAGAGGTTTGGAAGGTTTTGAGCAGGAACGGAGAGACAATAATAGTCATGCTCGATGCCCTTGTGACTGTGATTCATGTTCTTTGTGTAATCTGCCAGGGTTACTAAGTGTGAGTATGGAATAGAATGAATGAAGCCTGTGACAAACACATAACAAAGCCTGGACATTGTCTGCATCGCCCCAGCCAACTCGGCCTTGTCTCGTGGCACTCTGACTGCCTTAGAAAGCTTTGCTGCTTTCAACCCTCGCTGCTCAGCCACTTTATTCCACACAGCTCTGGGAATATCAGGCTGAATTTCCTTTGACAAATCTGCACTGCGTCCCACAGTGTTTAGTTCTCACTGTCCTTAAGGCAGATAATTACTTTGAAAATACCTCTTTCAGTTTTTTCCAGAGTAAACATCCTGTTTATATTAATTAGGTTAAGCAAATAATAGTGTAACTAAAATGTGGAAATGAAATGCATTGCCAATAACTTATTTAAAGCACCCTAGTTATTTTTCTGTGTGTGTGTGTGTGTGTGTGTGTGTGTATCTTTCCTATGGGGAATATTAATTCTTTAATTTATAAATTTAGGAGCTTGTGCCTAACCAGTTTGGCTTAGTGGATAGAGCGTTGGCCTGCGGACTCAAGGGTCCCAGGTTCAATTCCAGTCAAGGGCATGTACATTGTTTGCGTGCATATACATTGTTTGCGTGCATATACCCAGTAGGGAGTGTGCAGGAGAAGGCTGATCAATGTTTCTCTCTGATCAATGTTTCTAACTCTCTATCCTTCCCCTTCCTCTCTGGGGGGGGGGGGGGGAGTCAATAAAATATATATTAAAAAAATAAAATAAATTTAGGAGCTTGTAAATCAGAAAATGGACAGTTCTCTATGAAAAGAAACCTCGTTTCCTTATTCGATTCTTTTTTTTAATCTGTATTTTTTTCAATTCTATGGATTTTTGGTCCTCGGGTAATTTGAATTCAGAAAAATTTTTGACATGAATCTATTGACATTCTGCAGTGGCCTCTTTGCTTTCTAAAGAATGAACATTTCGGGGATTGCATTGGTATTTAGTTTCTCTATAGGAACAAGGTTCTCAGTGTTTAAAAATATTCCCAGAACCCTGCACTGAGCTGGTTCTTTATTTATTTATTTATTTTTTATTTTATTTTATTTCCTCAAGCTGCATATTGCTGTGCTTAGAATCACAGACCTCAAAATAACTCTGGCACCAGAAATTTATGGCCCATGCCTTAAATAGCTCAGTATTTTTGACTACTATGTCATTTTTAAATAACTGGAAAAAAAATTTAAATTGGATATGTATTTTCAACTTTGAACTAAGTGTGTATTTGATGCCCTGCTGAAAACAAATTGTCATCCCTAAGTTTGAAACATTTAGGTTCAAGGGAAAATGACACTTAGATATTTTTAGACACAAGGTTATAGGAATAAGGAAAGTTATTTCAACACAGCAGAGTTATACAAAGACAGCTGGCATAATCCAGACTTTGGAAAGGATGAGTACTTTTACTTGGTACTAGGAAAAAATAACAGGCTGCTACAGAGTGCCCTGGCCTTGCTGTAAGAAGGTGGCCAGCTGGTGTTAACAGGAAAAGTCCTAGGGCATCACGTTTTTCTCTTCGGATATTTACATCGATGAACTGAAAATATCCCCAACAGCCTCCTCTTCAATGTAATGTTATTCAGATATGATATTATTCCAGCTATGACAACCATACCATGCCTACTCTTCAGCGTTCTATAGGGAACTGTACAGTGTCTCTCTGTTAGAGAGATGTCCTATATAATAAAAGCCTAATATGCTAAGTGTCCAGTCACTCAGTCATCCGTTCAACCAATCAAAGCGTAATATGCTAAGGTCGCTCAACCACTTGCTGTGACATGCACTGACTACCAGAGGCTGACAGTTAACTGGTGGACAAGTCGCTATGATGTGCACTGACCATCAGGGGCAGATGCTCTGGACCAGGAGATTAGCTTGCTGCTGGGGTCTGGCTGTTCAGGACTGGGCGAGATGGGCCGGGCACACCCTGGAGCCCTCCTGTGGTCCCTCTCCAGCCTCCAAGCCTGATCAGCCCCAATTCCTGACCAGGCGGAGGAAACCCTCCCATGCACAAATTCGTGCACTGGGCCTCTAGTATTTAATAAAACAATGTCCTCTAGCAGGCACTGTACTCAAGTGCTCAACACAAGTGATCTGAGTTAATTCTTCCAAATATTTGTGACTTCCCTTTCTTAAGTAGATGGGAAAGGAAAGTGGATCTCAGGTTAAGTAACCTGTCTGTGGTAACCCAGCTAAGCTGATCCAGAGCTTGAGCTTGTACCCATCATGCCTGGAAAACATCACCAGCATTTGATAAAGAGAAGAGCTCAATAAACGGAAGCTCTCATTTTACCATAAAAAATTGTGTACAGAGAATAGTTCTCTTTTCACAAAACAGAAATGAGCTGATCGGACCGTTTTGAGTATTCCACAGCAGCGACAGAACAGCACTCAGATCCAGATGTACATTCTTTATCTTGTTCCTCTTTTCCTCCTGAACTATGAGAAGGATGGTGCACAGATACTTGATTACAGCCCTTTCGTTTTCCTGTGATTGTTAGTTGAAGCCAGGGGTTAAGATTGAGAAATTGTCTAAATGAAATGTATAGGTGACTTCAAGTTTTATCTAAACACATTTTGGGAATGATTTGGCAAGTATTGGCTGACTTACTTCGTTTCAAAGATATGTAAAGGGAGCCAGCTCAGCACAACCACTAGGGAGTGCAGCTGCCGAGAGACACATTTGTAAGAAATGAAAAACTGAACCTGAGCGTATTGATTTCCTAGGGCTGCCACAGCAAAGGGCCACAAGCCAGCTGGCTTAAACCACAAATGTACTGTCTGCAGTGCTGGAGCTGGACTGTCAGCAGGGTGGCTTTCCCCCAAGGGCTGTAGAGAATCTCTTCTACGCCCTTAGCCTAGTTCTGGTGGTTTGCTGGGCGTCCTTGGCTTATGGAAGCATCCCCTGATCTCTGCCTTCATCATCACATGATGTTCTTCCTGCCTGTGTCTACTTTCAGATTTCTCCATTTTATAGGCACCAGTTTCTTAACCCCCACTTAACCCATTTATAAGGATCATCCTAATGACATCTTTTTAACCTGGTTGCCTGGTAACGATCCTATCTCCAAATAAGGTCCTAAACTAAGGTTAGGGCTTCAGCATATGAATCTGAGGGGGACACAGTTCAACTCATAACGCTAAGCATCAACAACTATGTGTTGCTTATGCCCCTTTCCTGGCAGCTCCACCTCTACCTACACTAGCTAAGGTATTATCCATAGTGTGTCCACTTTACTGAATGAGTTATATTTAGTAGCATGTCTCTCATTTCCAGTATAATACCAAACTAATAAAACTCTACACTGATTCAAAGTTGGAATTTCTTCTTTCTGCCAGCCCGGCCTACTTCAGGATTGGAAGCCTGCAGGGGGAAAGTTGACATCATACGCTTCCTTCTTTGCTCTGCCTTTCGGCCCCTCCCTTCTGCTCTTTTAAAGTTGTTTTTATATCCTTCCAGGGAATACTGTACTTGTGTCTGCCATCAATAGAAGTGAATCTTCCAGCAGCACTGTGAAACCATCTACAAAACCAGTTTCCCCAGTGACAAACACCACCTCGAAATCCTCAGCAAAGCCATCAACAACTCCAGTTTCTTCAAAAAATGTGACAGCCGTCACCTTGAAACCCATAGCAACTTCTCAGATGACAACACAAGGGGTCTCAGCAAATATGACTTCCACCACCTTAAAGCCTACCCCCAAAATAACAACTGCTTCACAGCACACATCCCAGGTGTCGACATCCTCGATGGCCACAACCCACAATAGTTCAGCGACATCTGTTTCTTCCTCGGTAACAAGTATGTATTAAAATGATCTATTTCTCCTGCAAAAAATAAGTGCAGAAATTTAGGCAATGATTTCCTATTAAATAAATTAGTTGTAGAGATCGGGAATAGAGTTGACCTAGTGCTCTTGTCTCTTTAAAAAAAAAAAAATGGGTTTCTGACAATCATACCAAATAAGGCCTATCTGTGAATAAGTAATTTATATTGATGATTTTTTTATGATGTGAAAACTTATCATACCTTTAACTCTCTGCCTCATTGTAGGAAGGAATTAGGCAGGCTCAATCTACATGATTTTAAAATCATGGTGAACTTTGTTTTTAATTAATTTGTGCCAAAAAGATATTTAATATGGTATTAGATATAATCATGTATGTATTATCAGAGTCTCAGCACACTTTAATTTTTAAAAATATAATGCCTGTGAAACTGTGAATTCAAAAACCTTAAGAAGGTCGTCTTTTTAAGTTATCCAACATTGACGTTCTATTTAAAAGCTTGTGATTACACTTATTGGAACAAATAGCAGGCTTTCTAGTTTCTTTTATGTGTTTTTATGTTTTCTTTATTACTATAATTTATGTATTGAAATCAACTTTAATAACATGATTAAAACAAAATAGATTAGATTCTCAATTTATTTAAAAGGAGAAATTTCACTTAGAAACATTTATTCAGATTGGATCCAGTTTCAGATTATAGCTGTGTTCCGTGGACATATTTTGTTAAGGCATGAACTCTTTAAAGCACCGGTTGCCAACTGGTGGTTCGTGGACCACTGATGGTCCGTGAGGTCCAAAAGGTTGGCGATCGCTACTTTAGAAGATTCATAAAATAAAATCTTTCCAAGTCTTGATGCCTCTGAGGTTTTAGTAGACCATCCAAGTCCAGTAGCATCAAAGACCTTAAGATCCTGGGGTTGCAGGCACCTAGGTTTTTTCATTAAGAGACTAGAGGTTCGGTGCACAAAATTCATGCACTGGTTGGGAGGGGGGTCGCTCAGCCCAGCCTGCGCCCTCTCCAATCTGGGACCCCTTTGGGATCGGGCCTAAACGGTCAGTCGGACATCCCTCTCACAGTTGGGGACTGCTGGCTCCTAACCACTCACCTGCCTGCCTGATTGCCCCTAACCACTTCTGCCTGCCAGCCTGATCATCCCCAATTGCCCTTCCCTGCTGGACTGATCTTGTCTCCAACTGCCTTCCCCTGCTGGCCTGATGGCCCCCAACTGCCCTCCCCTGATCTTATGACAACATGAGGGTGGATACCTTGTGATGCTGTGAGGGTGAGACGCCTCCTAGGCTTTTACTAGTATAGATGTTAGATAAAATGAAGAAAGCTAAAGCCAGGCAACTCGCTAGACACACTGGAAAGCAACGTTCTATGCTTAGATTCAGTGTTTAGAAATTCAGAAAGTTTTAGTTTATTATGTTTTTTAATAGTGCTAAAGCCTATTTTGTTTGTGTTTTCTCCTAGTCACAGCAACTATCAATTCCAAAGAAAATAAAGGATCAAAATTTGATATTGGCAGCTTTGTTGGTGGTATTGCATTGACCCTGGGAATTCTATCTATTCTTTACGTTGGATGCAGAATGTATTATTCAAGAAGAGGCATTCAGTACAGAACCATGTGAGTTTTGGTTACACACGACTTTTTAAATGATTATTTCTGTGTTTCTTTATTTAAATATCATGACAAAATGTCAGGAATAGGGGAATGTTCATCTCGGATATTATAAATTCATAGATGTATGAATTACATTCCCATTAATCTTCTATGCCCAAAGTAAATTATGTGTATAGCTTCTAATTATTATATTTATATTCATACATTTGTTATCAGAGGCTCAAGTTAAGCCAACTCTTTCTACTTCCTTATAGCTCTAATTGTAAGAAGTACTATACAGCCGAAGCCGGTTTGGCTCAGTGGTAGAGCGTCGGTCTGCGGACTGAAAGGTCCCAGGTTCGATTCCGGTCAAGGGCATGTTCATTGGTTGCGGGCGCACCCCCAATAGGGGGTGAGCAAGAGGCAGCTGGTCGATGTTTCTCTCTCATCGACGTTTCTAGCTCTCTATTTCTCTCCCTTCCCCTCTGTTAAAAATTAATAAAATATATTAAAAAAAAAAAAAAGTACTGTACATCAGATTTCATACGGCTATTGACCTAGCATGTCTGTGTTTGCCAATAGCACTGAAATAGCATACTTGATAAAAACATGGTTTTTGCTTTTGATAAAGGCAAAGCGACTGAATAAGTTCTCCTGCCTGTCACATCTCCCCTGCTAAACTACTATACCAGATGAGTTGTTAACATAATGTATTTTATTGGTAGTAAAACTATTTTTCAGGGGAGTTTTATCAAGTCCTGATCACGAAACCATGTTTACCCTTTGTATGATTGTACAGGCCTTAGGATTTTTGAGGTATTACCTCCAGCTTTCAATTTGCCAACAAAGTCCTTCTGGGTTTTTCTTTTGAGTGTTATATGTAAAGTACCAATTCATTCTTTTGAGGTTAATATATATAAAAACCATCAAATAAATTATCATTTCCCAAAATTTGTTCATCTTAAGTTGTAAGCATATGCATCCCACACAGACTTTCCACTTAAGAGACAATTGGGAAATAGGGATTGAACCTTGAAATTTGCAATAATTTTTAAAAGCACTAAGTGTTTCTAGAAATATTTATCATCTATTTTCTTGATAAATTTAAGCAATTAAAGAGAAAGCATATTTGATAGCAAGTCAAAAGCCACTTATTTTTATAGTATCAATTTCATACAATTGATGTTAGTAAAATAGTAAATAATTAAAATATAAGTTGGTTTAACTACAAGTATACAATTTTAGCTTTCTGGGCTAAATTTTCCTCACACATACATGACCACATGATGCTGCATGCCCTGTGGAGAAAGTCAGAGTCCAGAATCTCCATTCCACAAAGGGCACTATGCTGGCAGAAGCAGAGCTGGACTCGAAAAGGGTCTTATCTTTGTGTGGGAACCAGTAGATGATGAAAATGCCATATTTATTTGAGTTCAAGTACATATTTCTTGTGGTTCTCCCCCTCCCCCCCAAGCCAGTAATTCCTTTGAAGTTATTTAAAAAAAAAAAAAAGCATTTCATAAGTAAGGACTTCATGTTTGTCCCACTAAAGAAATTGAGACCTTCTATGTCCAGTACTAATGAGCATTTCTAGTTCTCATTTACTGGGAAATGATTGATTAAGACACAGATTAAAATGTTAGCTCCTGTGTTTCTGAGTTTGGTGGAGAGACCGTGGAGTGAAATAGGGAGACATGGGTTTGGGGCAGACAGCCTGAGTTCGAGTCTGGTTGACTGCGGACTGGCAGGGTGCCTTCCCATGCTTGTATAAATGAGGCAGCCAAGTGCACAGGGTCAAGACCAGAGTTCACGTGCCTGCTTAGCTTCTTATCCCCTGCAGAACCGGATAGTGAATAAAGTAAATACAAGTATTCTCTGCAGAGTTACTATGAGGATGAACTGAGTTATGGATGTAATGTCTGCAGTATAACATCTGGAACAGAGTAAATGCTCAAGAAATACGGTGATTTCTTTTTTTAAAGAAAGAAATACTAGCTAACTGGTGGAAAGGCACACAGCCCTAAGAGGCCGAGCAGAGATTTAAGTTTAGGCTTGTTTGACAACCTGAACCTCTGCTTGAATCCGTAACCACTACAGTATACTAGGTACTCTTACTTAAAGGAATCACAATTCACTTTTATTCTGAAACTTGACATTGTTACTTTACTTAAAAATATGAATATATAAGTAGATTTGATACAAAACAAAGTAATTTTAACTTTTTATATATTCCAGTGATGAACATGATGCCATCATTTAAGGAAATCTAAGGACCAACGGAAGATTGATGCAACCCTATCGATCAGTTTAAGCCAATATTCTCTTTTTTAAAGTAGTATAAACAGGTCATGCACATAATGTACAATGTATCACATAAACTTGTGAAAATTCCTCATTATTACTAAAGGTAAAAAAGTTTTGTTTTGGGTTTTTAATGAACATTGGGAGCGTACAGATAGTTAATGGTTATATTCACTTTTAGAAAATATATAAGACAAGTCCTGTCGCATTGTCCTGTGGCATTGGTCACGTAGGGCCAGTACCTGGAAGACATACCAAATAGGAGCTTGTCACAACACTGAGGATGTTGACTGTCTTTATTGCTCACACAAAGAACTTAGTGCTACACAGAGCTGGATATTTGTCTCACTAATGCCTCACAGCAGAAATGTTATGTCTCTTTAGAAAGCATCAATATTTTATGTTTTAAAGCACAATACTTGGTTTAGAAACAAAATGCACACACACACACACCCGGAAAAAAATCAAATAAAATCAGAAACCTTACTGGGGCTTAACCATGTTAGCTTATATATTTTTTAAAAATTCCTTTTGAGCTTTCAATGGCAGTTGATATAATTACTTTTTTTCCCCTCTGTGATTTCAGCAAACTGCAGTGTTTAACATGATAGTGTTTTAAAGACTTAATTGTTAGTATTAAATAAGTTAGATTATTTGCTACTGTGAGAATAGCCTCACCACTGGAAATTTGTCTTTTTTCATATTTAGCTATTATATGTTTAGTGAATATTTAAAGCTATGTTGAGCTGCTTTCAATATATAGAAATGTTTAATGCAGCATAAACACACGTAACTTTAAAAGTCCCTTACATGGTTTCCAAATAACATTTAGCACTCTGTCTAGTCAGAACTATAGATTAATTTGTTTCTCAAGCCAAGGATTATAGAGCCCCCCTCAAGCTACTAAACCTATAAGATGAAAATATATTTTTCTGCACTGTAAGAAGTTTGGGGAAACTGCATTTTTATATTAAAACCAATGTATTTTGGAATAATTTTAAAACAGGAATTCCTTATTGGGGTATTTTTTCCCACCACTCCTCTTTTGCTAAAGAAGAGGCACTTTTAGATGTATTGTTACTGGAGAGAAAAAGCATAGTACTGTGGGGACACTAATATTAGCCAATATTTTTTTGAGTGTGTTCACTTTTCTAGTTTATATTTCCAGCACTCAAAACTCAGGGTCAAGACAAAAGAGGTATTTAGTCATACTAAGATAGTATTTCTATATTAGATTAGTCAAAGTGAACCATACCAATTTCTAACAGTCTAAAAAGGAGCTAAGATGTCCTAATATAATAAACACAAACCTGCCTCTAATAGAAATTAAATACAACTTTTGTGGTCAGCTTTTGCTTTATGGGAAATGTCATATACAGATTTTTATATAAAAAGGTCATTTCTGCTCACTGCAATACGGCCAGTTAATGTGATGAATGTGGAGATAAATATTATCCAAAGTGTGGATATGGCTGGATGTATGCAACACATGCAATATGGAAGAAATATGATGAAAAGCATGTGGCTATATCAGTTTGAAAAAATGTGGGCTGATAGGTAAGTTGTATGTGACTAACGCATCTTTAATAGTGATAGGGGCCTTTTAAATTTTAAGTTGTTTTGTCCCCTTTTTTCTTGATATTTTAGTACTGAAATCAGCCAGAACTTTGTAGACAGGCCTGGAATTTTCTTGAGTACTTCTTTCTTTAGCACTTTGAAGATATAAAACCACTTTTTAAGTACTAAATGTTACTAGTATATGCCTTTAGTTCTCTGTGCTTTGGGTTTGAAATAATTTAGTTGAATTTTCTCTGTATATAAATTGTATAACTTGTTTCGTTACTTTTAAATACCAGTACTTCAGTACAGTCAGGTGGGTTGTTTTTTTTTTTTGTTATGTGCAAAAATTGAGAGAAATGGTGATTCAAGCCAATAATTTGCTTTGGAGCACATTTCCTAATTATTTTCCTAATTAATTTACTTGAAGCAAATGTTCAATTTTGTTTGCATTCTTTGAGAGTGTATTTAATTTGAAAATAAAAGCAACCCAGATGTCTATATTGGGCAGAATCCAATTAATAATTTTAAATTTTCATTAGATAATCCTTAAAATAAATTCAAATACAGATAAATATTGGCAGTATATTACAGTGATAATTTTGTATTTTTCAGAAGAAACATTTAAATTGAATTCCTCTTTTTTCTTTTTATTATGATGACCAGCTTTGGGTATTTCATTGTTACTAAGATCTATTTTTAGAATAAAATTTTGTTCAGTACGAGTTTCATATGTGTGGTTTTGTTCACTTTATCAAACTCAAGAGAAATTAACAATAAGAAAAGCGCCAAGTAAAAAATCAGATTGTTGGGGCTAACCTGACACTGTAAGTGAAGTTATCTGGAGCAGCGGTCCCCAAACAGTGGTCCTCGGACCACCTATTGTCCATGGGGTCCGAAAGGTTGGCGACTGCTGGTTTAAGGAAACCTTTGGATTCTGGACCATCAACAGCATCGCCTGGACACTTGTTAGGAGTGCCAGTGTTTGAGCCCCCACTGAAACTTAACTGAACCTCTGGGGAGGAGCCCAGCAGTCAATGGTTTAACTATCCTACCAGGTGATTCTGATGAACATCAAAGTTTGAGAGGCACTGCTCAAAGAACTTCCATTTGAAGCCACGTCTGTATTCTGCTGGGTAAATTTAAAAAGGTATGTTCCTAGCAGAAATTAAAAAACTACCATTTCCTACATAAATCAGATGCAAATGAATTAATGTATAGTATTCAAGTCTTTATTTTTTCCTTTAAAACTGGATATATTTAACTATTTGAGAATAACAAATGTTTGTTATAAGGTAATCAAGGCAAGAGGTTACAGTTCTCAGAAAATCTTTTAGCTAATAAAAAAAAAAGTACCCTGTTACAATATTATTTGTACACAATTCCTCCCTCCCTCCCTACCCTTGCTTGGTTCACTCTGGGCAGAGTTTACACCCCCACCAACTTTAGACATAAAATATGTCTTGCTTTTGACCCAATGGTATGGGAGAAGATGTAATAAAGAGTACATCTTTTAAGCTTCAGTTAACTTTAAAAAAAATTTAAGTGTGTTATGTATGCAAAAAATGCTCAGAATGAATGACATGGCCAAGAAAGAAACAACGTAGAATGTTCTTGACTTTGCTTCCCCTCTCATCTCTCCTATTCAACACAGGACTGAAAGTCCTAGCTAGAGCAACCAGGCAAGAAGAAATAAAAGTCATTAGACTTGAGAAGGAAGAAGTAAAGTTGTTTCTATTTGTAGATGACATGGTTTTACATATATCCTGAAGATTCCACCAAAAAAAGTTGGGTGTAATCAAATTCACTATCGTTACAGGATGCAAAATTAATGTACAAAAAGCAGTAGCATTTCTATGCACTAACAATCATCTGAAAAAAGATAATGGTTCCATTTATAATACCTTCAAAAACAAAATGCATAGGAGTAACATAGGCGGTGAATGACCTCTATCTGAAAACCAAATAGCCAAAGCAATCCTGAGAAAGGAACGGTGGGAGGTATCACACTTCCTGATTTCAAGCTATTGTATGAAGCTATATGTGCTGTGAAAGGTGATGGGGGGGATGGTGAAAAAGATCAATTTAACTAAAATAGACCCTATAGTAATCAGAACTGTATGGTACTAGCATAAGACCAGATAGACCAATGGAAAAGAATCAAGAGCCCAGAAATAATGCATACAGCATCAACTAATATTTGACACGTGTGTCAATACTCAATGTGGGGAAAAAACAATCTCTTAAGTAAATAGTACTGAGAAAATTGGATATTCACATGTAAAATAATGAAAGGCCCCGATCCTACGCTTTTCACAAAAATTAACTCTAAATGGACTAAAGACTTAAAAGTTAAGAACAGAAACCATAAAACTCCTAGAGGAAAAGAGGAAAAAAGTTCCTTGGCAATGAATTTTTGGATATGACAAGCAACAAAATAAAAAGGACTAAACAATTACACATAATAAAAAGAAAATACAAATGTTTTATGTCTACTCTGCTGTTATGTGATTTTACAAATTCATTGGCAGGTTGGTAGTAAAGAACATAATAGACATCTTGATATAAATAGCTAACTAAGTTAAAAAATTAGCTAAGATTAAGTCTTGTATGATTTCTACTGTGAATAGAAAGTACTAGCATTCTGGCTTTTTTCTGCCTTCCCATCGAGGAAGAGATGGGTGAGCTTCTGTCCCAAAATGTCTAGATTTATCATTTCCAACTACTCAGAGGCCTTGCCTATTTTTAATAAAACATCATAATCATTTTTAACTATCACTTAAAATCCAACTGAATTATCTCTTATGGAGTATTTTTCCTATGCCTCCAAGCTTGCTCTCCTATTTTGTGTTTGTTGCTGCTGTTGCTTCAAAAAGTTGAAAAAAAGGGGCACATAAAAGGCTTCTCAGAACATGTCATCCTGTCCTATAGCTATGGGATCAGGCAAGAAATTTCTGGGACCTGCATATGCTCTGTGCCCAAAGAATATAAAAAATATATATATATCAACTGAGATGGAACATTTCCTAACTCACTCTAAGGCTAGCATTGCCCTGATTCCAAAGCCAAACACCACAAGAAAACTGCAAACTGCCCTGACCGGTTTGGCTCAGTGGATATAGAGCATTGGCCCGTGGACTGAAGGGTCCCAGGTTTGATTCTGGTCAAGGGCATGTACGTTGCAGGGGGTGTGCAGGAGGCAGCTGATCGATATGGACAAAAGTGCCATGTTCCAAACAAAAGCAACTTGTGTGAACTGCAAGCTGAAATAGCTGCTTTGTTCACGAAATAGCAATTTTATTTAAAAGAATAACTGATAAAAAATAATGCTGACAGGTCCTGTGCATGGTGCCGGTGGGTACTAATCTTATTGGGGGACCACTTCTAAGTTATATAAATGTCTAACCATTATGTTGTACACCTCAAAATAATATATTCAATGTCATCTGTAATTTTAAGAAAAATTACTTTAACTCTGATGAAATAATACTGACAGACTTAACTATTTGGCAGTTATTCTGTTGAAATGAGTCTGAGAAAACTGACAGTTTTTGTAGCTAATGATAAAAATCAACCTTTTCAGCAAAAATTAAAATTTTAGAAACGTGTATATACCACTATCAGCTTGAGAGTGTCCCAATACCTGGACTTGCCCTAATGATATAAGAAGTTAAGAACAGCCGGGACCGGTTTGGCTCAATGGATAGAGCGTCGGCTTGGGGACTGATGGGTCCCGGGTTCGATTCCGGTCAAGGGCATGTACCTTGGTTGCGGGCATATCCCCAGTAGGGGGTGTGCAAGAGGCAGCTGATCGATGATTCTCTCTCATCGATGTTTCTAACTCTCTATCTCTCTCCCTTCCTCTCTGTATAAAATCAATAAAATATATTAAAAAAAGAAAAAAAAAAAGTTAAGAACAAATGTGATTTTTAGATACCGAGTAATGAAATGTATCAACATGTAGGAGCTCTTGCATAATTCAGTAAACAGATATTTTCCAAATGACCAACACACGTTATAAGATTATGCATGAGTAAGACCCATTCCAAGTGAAAAATTCACCAGTGGATCTTATATAACAGAAAACAGAGATCACACTGAACAGTAAAAAGATCAGTGGTTGCCAGAGCCTAGCTGGGAGGGAGGGATTAAAAGGTAGAGCATAGAAAGTTCTTAGAGCAATGGAACTATTTTATATGTTAAAATGATGGATACATGTCATTATATGTCTGTCAATACACCAAGAGTGAACCCAAATGTACGTTGTTAACTTCGGATTATAATGATGTGTCAATGAAGGTTCATCAACTGTAACAGATGTACTGTTCTGGTGAAGGATGCTGACAGTGGGGGAGGTTGTACATATGTAGGACAGACAGTAGGGGGGAACTCTGTACTTTCTCCTTAATTTTGGTGTGAACTTAAAATTACTCTAAACTATAAAATATAAAAACAAGTTTTTAATTTTAATTTAAATTAAAAAAATTTTAAAGACTATTAATATGATTTCACATTCCAATTACCTTTAAGGAACTGCCTGACACTTGTCAAGTTTTGGGGTAGCATCAATAAAGAATAATAATAAAAGAATATCCACAATTATCTGAAAAATTCTTTTCCAAGTACATACACTGAGAGGCTGAAATTTTCTTCATAAACTTCAACCAAAATAAAACACATATTACAAAAGATTGCTCAGCAAGACATCAAAGAGCTTTGCCAAAACGTAAAATAAGGCCATTCTTACTAAATATCTTAAATATTTTTCATAAGAAGTGCTACCTTAATATGCAATGTGTAGTGCTTTTTAAAATATGTAATGAATTTATTTTTAAATGAATTCATAAATATTTTTAAATTGTGTTTAATTTCTAATATGGTAAATATCAGTATGTACAACTCACATAAACACAAGCTCTTTGGGGTCCTTCAAAACTTTTTAGGACTGTAAAAACCGGATCCAAGACAAGACCAAAACGTTTAAGAACTGCTACCATGCACAACAGATTTACTTAACATATGGTAAGAGATATTGGGTGAAATGTTATACTTCTAGTAAAAAAAAACTTAGGTCTGTCTTCATTTTTTTATTAAATTATCTGTGTACATATTTGAACATTGCTCCCCCCCATACATACGCTCCCTCCCCAGAGTTTTGTGTCCATTGGTTGTACTTATATGCATGTATACAAGTCCTTCGGTTGATTTATTATCTCCCCCAGATCTCCCTACCCTCCCCGCTGTAATTTGACAGTCTGCTTGTTGTTTTAGGTCTGTTGTTAGGTCTGTCTTCAAAGTAGACAGCAGGCTGTCCACTGTCTCAAGGAATGGCAGTCAACAGAAGGCCTCTTCTTTAAATATATATTTCAATTGTTGATAGTATTACAGATACCTCTTATTTTTCTCTCCTTTTACCTACTTCCCCCTACCCACCCACCATAGGTCTTCACCCCACTATTGCCTGTGTCCGTGGATCTTCTACTTGGTTAGTGGGGAACAGAAGAGAGAAAACTGTTCAGCTCCAGGCCCTGTGCTGCCTTCAGACAGAACATTGGAAACATCCAGATGAAAATAAGCCTAACAAATGATAAATTACTTAATTCCCCCAATTTATGTTAAGAAGGTAAAAAAATAAAGACATTATTTTCAAACATAAGTAGGAAAGTGAAAAACTGAAGTGTGGTTTAACAGACTAAATTTGTAAAAGGTAAAAGTTCTGGAGTCATTCCCACTTAGATCACATACAATTCACAGTCCACCATTTATTATCTCCAGCAATCTACATCGTTTCATTGATCCTAAATTCCTACATATCCAAAAAGGGATAACATGTTTCCTAGGACTTTAAGGATTAAATAAGGCAATAAATAAGGATTAAATAAGGCATTCATCTATTTATTCAACATAATGAATACATGTATGACACTATTATGAGGGCAAAAAGATAAAGAATTCAAGACCTACACTCTAATCTAGATACACAGAATTCAGCAAGTGGATAAGACATTACCATTCACTTCTATTTTATGCTACACACACACACATAGAAATAATATGAGTAAGTTCTTGTACATTATTAAAACGAGTAGCTAAATAAAACTAAGATAAAATCTCTAATCCATAGAACTCACAAAGTTATAGTTCTTATGCTGGATAGCAGCCCATGCAATTTTTACAAATATTAGTACCACTTCACAGGACAATTGTTCCAAAAGCATAAGCTAAGGAGTCATGTAGATCCCTGTTCAATTTTTACTTTGCAATTGTTGAAAAGAGTAGAATATGCTCTGAAGTATCTAGCACCTTGTATTAGTTTGCTAAAGCTACCATAACAAAGTACCAGGCTCGGTGGCTTAAACAACAGAAATGTATTTTCTCACAGTTCTGGTGGCTAGAAGTCCAAGATCAAGATGTTGGAAGATTTGGGTCCTTCTGAAGCTTCTCACCTTGACTAGTTGATGGCCATCTTCTTCCAATATCTTCACATGGGCCTCCCTCTGTGTCTGTGTTCTAATTTCTCCTTATAAGGACAATTTATATTGGATTAGGGCTCATATAATCTTATTTTATCTTAATCATCTCTTTAAAGGTACGATCTCCAAAAATAGACACATTGAGTTACCAGGAATTAGGGTTTCAACATAGGAACTTTGTGTGGGCACAATTCAGCCCCTGACACATCTTAATTGTTTAAAGAACCTAACACTGTGTGTGCCGCGCCAGCACAGCCAAGGGTTCAGAGGGCTGGTAAAGGATGAAAAGACAGAGAACAAGCTGGGTCTAGATTGATCTTCCGTGCCTGGCTGAGGCCACAGAACAGATCCAGTCTGCAAACTTATGGTTTATTTACAGTCAGAGGTAAACAAGGTAATTTACAATGTTATTCTAAGCTTCACTTGTTTTGGCAGCACTTGCTGCCCCTCCCACAGCCCATACAGATCTAGGAGCAGCCACAAGATCAAGCTTATTTATGCTAAGAGGGCTGTGCCCTCTAAGCTGGAACTTGTTTGCGATTTGGCCAGCTGGCCAGTCCGAAGCTTACCCCTATAACTGCTCCCTACAATTATGCCTGGCACACAGCGAATCCTAATATAAAGTAGCTATTATTAGGCAAAAGGTAGAACAGTTTCTAAAAGGATTTAATTCCCTCTTTTATAGTCCTTCTATAATGGCAAGAAGAAACTTTCCTTCACTGTCATGAAATGGTATACCTATCAAGATGGAAATAAAGGCAAAAGGAGAGATTGAAGGATAAATGTTTGCTCTTTCCACTGCAGTCTTTATTTAAAGGGATCTATAGTTGTAGAGTAAGAAAAAAAATGTAACTTTTAATAATATAACTCCTTTCCTCTCGGCCTCAGATCTGGGAAAGGTCAAATGTGATTGGGTTCTAAAAGGAGATAATTACGATTATATTCTATTTCATCCCACTAACACCTATGCAACAAAGCAACTATACTATTTTTTAAAAATCCATTGCAGATTGATTTAATTTTAGTTGAGAATGTATATACATTTTAATTCAAATTGTATCTATACTAGAGGCCCAATACATGAAATTCATGCACGGGGCACTGGAAAGGGTCACTCGGCCAGGCCTGTGCCCTCTTGCAATCTGGGACCCCTTGTTCCTAACCACCCGCCTCCTCGCTCCTTACCTCTTGGCTCACCATTCAGCGCTGCCATGGAGGCAGAGAGGTTCCTGCCACTTTAAAGACATAAAATTTTTTAAGAGAAAAAATTTTTGATCATGTAATCTTTTCAAAGAACTTTATTAAGATGTTTTTCACATATTAGAAAAAAGCTTATTTGCCAGTACAAGAAATATATTTAACACAAATTAAAAACACCAAAGAGAATTTGGCATCATAACTGGATAAACTCGAGTTCCTGGTTTCCAGTTCTCTACACTCTCATGTAGTGCTCAAAGCTTTCAGAAATATCAAATTCAGTCACTCCTGAAATGATACAGAATAGCACTGAGAGTCCTTACTCCTTAATTTCTCCTATATGCACACATATACACTAATAAAGTCCACCAAGCATACGTCTTCCCACTGATATGAATTAAAATTAAATATGATATACAATACTTTATTTTTTTTGGAAACCACATTACTGGTACCAAAGCAGGGTAGAACACATATGTTACTCACGAAAGAACCAGTAACTCCTTTTCTACCTCAGATGGCTTCAAATGTTCAACAATTATTTGAAGACTTTTACATATAGGCTAACATATAGCCCATATTTCTTTTATGAGAGAAATGTGCGAACAGTTCCCTTAATTATACCCCTGCAAATAGGGCATTTTCTTAGGGAAGGGGCACATTCCTGGCATACTACTAGATGTCCACAAGGAATGAATACAATAGAAACTTCTTTGTCCATGCACACTTTACAAGTTCTTTCTTCTTGCAACCTCCTCAACTGTTCTTCCAGAGACAGACCTAGTAACAAAAACAAAAAAACTTTAGTGAAATTGAATTTCCATTTTAGTTCCCATTAAATAAATAATATGAGTAATAATTCATATTGGTCTTAAGTCTTCATTTTTTTTACCTGAAACATCTTCGGTTGGAATATACTTCATATTCTTTTCCACTAAGGAAAGAAAATACACAAAAAAGATCATTACCAAATACAGCACTGCTTAACCTACCTATCTGTTTTACCTACTATCTATTGAATAAGATAGATTCTAAGTATATATTATCAGAAAAGACTTAGCCATACAACTTGGGCAATAAAAGACCAGTTTTTTAGAACATGTTAAATTATGGAGCATAGTTTGCTAATTGAATTTATTTTTTTGTCAGATACAAAGATGAACGTAATCCCAAGGATTTTTAAAACAATTTTACCAAAAAACTCACCAAATAAGTTCTTATATAATGTAGAGTCAATTTCTTTTAGGCAGTTTTTAAAGATGTTGGCTGCCGCATTTCCTTTAACTAAAACAGTATCAATCAGTTCTCTTGCTTGTAAAGGTATCTGTGTTTTTTGTTTAATTATATCATGTTCTTGTTTATTAATTATATTGGCCTTCAGAAGATTATCCAGGATGGGAAGCACACAAGTCAACTGTTGAAAGAGAGCCATTCTATTCTTCCGAATTAATGACAAATCATCTTCATTAAAAAAAAAAAAAGAAAGAAAAAAATCCATTAGATTTTATACTGCTCCAACTAAATCTATACCAACCCTATAAGCAATTTAGGCATTAAATAAATAGGAACTTGAAAAAGAAGGGCAAATTTATTTGTTTGCACATTAATGTCTCTCCCTTGAAAAATCCCCCGAAGATTTTGCTAAGACACATTATATAGTATACACAGAGTCTTTGTTTGTGTCCTTTTCTTAAGTCAATATATTTATATGTTTAGAAGCCTGCTTTTCCTTTATTCTGTTGAAAGCAAGCAGAGAATGTTAGAGGATAGCAAAAATTTCCCACTTCTGTACTTTCCCACATGGAATTAATAATGCATGCTAACTTCTACTTGTATCATATCACTTTACTTTTTTAAGTTTTTAAATTTTAAGAATAGTTGGTATAGAATCTTATATTTATTATATTAGTTTTAGGTGTACAACAGAGTGATCTGACAGTTTCATACATTAAAATGTGATTGCCCCACGAAATATGGACAGAGAACATAAAAAGGCATTTCTCCAGAGAAGACATACAGATGGCCCTCAACAGGGAAATGCAAGTCAAAACCACGAGACACCACCTCACACCAGTCAGGATGGCCATTCCAAAAAGTCAACAAAGAACACATGCTGGTGAGGATGTCCTATTGGTGGAACTGCAAATTGGTGTACTCCCCATGGAAAACAGTATGGCGAGTCCTCCAGAAATTAAAGATATAGCATTCGACCCAGATATTTATGAAAATGAAAACTAATTTTAAAAATATCACTTTTACAAACACTTTTATATAAATTGTCTTATTTGATACAAAGATCCTGTCAATTAAACAATGTAGGGTATGATTGCTTCTCATTTTAAAACAGGAAGACTCGGGGGGGGAAAAAAATGAGAACCTTACAGAAACCATCAGCTGCAGACCATGGTCTCCTACTCTTCTTTTTAACTCCATGCTTATGAAGCAGTACTGTGGACCTCCTTTGTCTGTGGTCTCACTCTCCACTGTTCCTGTTACCCACAATCAACCATTGTCCAAAAATAGTGAATGGAAAATTCCAAAAATAAAAAAATTTTAAGCTTTAAATTGTGCACCATTCTGAGTAGTGTGATAAATCTCACTGTGTCCCAGCTGGGAGGTGAAAAATTCCTTAGTCCAGTATATCCACACTGTATTCGCTACCCACATGTCAGCCACAAGGTTACCAGGTTGACTGTCATGGTATTGCAGTGCTTTCAAGTAACCATTATTTTACTTAAAAATGGCCCCAAAGTCATTCACACATTTTTTTTTTTTTACTTATTTCTCATTAAACTTACTTCATGTTTATGAGAAATAAACTTACATAAAGTAAGTTTAATGAGAAATAAGTATGAAAAGTAAATTCTATCTTCCTTTCTTTAGAAATAAACAGAAAAGGGGTCTTCCCATCCAAATACCCTAATTGATACTATATAAGCAACCTTTACCTCTGCTAGCTCTTTAATCCTATTTTTTTGCATCCTAGTCTCCACATCTTAGTCTATAAGCTCCTTGAGAATGAGCATCATAACTCCTATAAGTGTTCACGTTCAATAAGTACTTGTTGAAGAAATGATTACTCAAGACTTGTTTGGGAGTCTGAGACGTAACATAATCTGAAGAATACCAAAATCGATTCCCTATCTTTGGTTGGCCAGGGGCTTCTCACCAAGCCCTAGGATTTTATCATCAGTTCTATTTTTTGTGTAAGGATCGCTTATAGGATTACAAAGTCAAATACATATTAAGACTATGATTTTAAGGAACTTAAAGAGAAATAAGACCTGCATTCAACTTTAAAAATTTGCTTTTTCAGAACTTTAACTTGTTATAACAAGTAAATAGGACTCAAGAAGAGTTAAGCTAAAATCCTCTGATTAGCATATATCAAGGAAACTTACTGGAAAATAAACATAGAAAAAAGGTATAGTCAATAGTTGTTAAATAGAGGAGAAAGGGATGTGCAGTTTGGAAATGACTGGAGGCTGCTACCAGCAGGTAGTGGATAGATGAGGATATTAACTTTCTCCTGACATGTGAGACAATCCTGTGAGCCCCACTGGGAAATAATGCAGTTTTCTAGCCTTCCCAAATACCTGATGCCATTTCTTCCGTTTGTCTTTCTTTTTCTTCTTGTCTGTTTTCATCTTCAGCATTAAGTAGTGCTGACACAATATCATTAACTGTTTTGTAATTCTCTCCAGTTGTTAGGATTTTACTCTGAACTGTCTGTTTTACCAAGCTTCTGCTGAAGCCCATTTCCAAGGCAGCTTTCACCACTGGTGTATCCATCATGACTGCATCTTCTGAAGAACTTTCTCCAGGTCCAAAATGAACAACTATTTGAAATGACATGTACCAATGTTAAATTCCACAAATGTAGGAAAATGTCTATGACACAAACTTGACTCTCACATTACTTATATCCTGGTAAGAGAGATGAATTAGATAAACTCATTACCTATAACTCCAACAAAAGTTTAACTTGATCAGGTTCAAATGAGTGTGTATGATTTGCTGTACTTTTTAAGAAAGACCACTTCTACTTCCTAGACTACATTCCAGACCTACTTAAAGAGAAAATAGGGATGGAGCTTACAAATCTGTATTTTTTTTAAATTTCCCAAGTGATTCTGATGTAGTCATATTTAGAAACCAATATGCTATACAAATTTAGAAGTGAGAAATCTCACTTCAGCCAGGGAAGTTGGGGAAATCAACAAAGACTTCATGGAAAAGTGGCATTAGAGCTCTGATTTAAAGAAACAGAATCTAAAGATATGAATAGATGAAGCAGAAAGAATAACAAGCGAAGACAGGAAGTATAGTAAAATAGAAGGCTGGTTCACCTAAAATATGTCTAAAGACGTAAATAAATATGATAAAAGAAGTAAACAGTCATATGATTTCAGAAGTGACAGATGCTCTGAAGAAAAAGCCATGTAAAGGTGATTAAAACAAATTAGGAGGCAGGAGGACACTTCAAATAAGGTAATCAGGGAAGCATTTTCTGATAACAGGATCAATGCTAGCCAATATGACATATTATGAAAATTTCAGCCCTCGCCGGTTTGGCTCAGTGGATAGAGCATTGGTTTGTGGATAGGAGGGTCCCAGGTTCAATTCCAATCAAAGGCACATGCCTGGGTTATGGGCTTGGTCCAACGTGCAGGAGAGACAGCCAATCAATAATTCCCTCTCATCATTGATGTTTCTCTCTCTCTCTTCCTGTCTGAAATCAATAAAAATATATATATATTTTTAAAAAATCTTTTAAAAAAAGAATATTACAAAAACATTAATTCTTCAAGATGCTTTACTGCCATCTGCTGGAAAATTGTTATAATACACATTAGAGGCCTAGTGCACAAATTTGTGCACATTGAAAGGAAATTAGGTGGCTAACAGGGCAAGATGGGCGAGACAGACCAAACACACCCTGGAGCCAACATCCTTGGTCAGCCGCACTTGGGGCAGAGCTGGGGCTCAAAGGGCGTCTGCAGAGTGAGAGGGGTCCCTCCAGCAGGGGCGTCCCTAGGCCTGGCCTGGGGGGATCAGGGAAAATCCAGCAGTCTGACATCCCCTGAGGGCTCCTGGGGTAGCAGAGGGCACTCTGCAAAGTTGCTATCACTTGGCAGCTCCTGTGTTGAGCATATGCCCCCTGGTGGTCAGTGGGTGTCATACCTACCAGCCAGTGGGCCTGTCATTTGCTTAGCCTTTTATATATATAGATATAAATATACATTGGCTACCATGTGTGCTGTGCTCCCTTGCTTCCATGTGTGGAAGCCCTGTCTGAAGAGGTAGCACAAGAACAAATACTTTAGTGATAAAAAAGAGTAAGCTATGGGAATATCTGAAGAAGTCTTTCAGGCAAAGAGAAAAGCAAGTATACAACTTTAATTCAAGAGTAAAGCTTGATACAAGGTTTATTCAAGAAGCAGAAAGGTGGAGAAAGCCAGGGAGGAGGAGGATGATGCCCAGATTATAGAGCCTTGCGAGAAATTTATATTTTCTTCTATGTTTGCCAGAATATTCTAGGAGGGTTTTAAGCAGAGAAGTGATAAAACCTGACTTTCCCCCCCGCCAAAAGATAATTCCGGCAGTTTGGAGATAAATTTAAATGAGGTAAAATGGAGTCAGGGAGATGTTTGGATATTATAAAAGATGATGGCAGTCTGCATTAGGTTGATAGGAATGGAAATGGAGAAAAGTGGTAAGATTAGGGACATATTATACAGGTAGAGATGAAAGGACTTCTAATTAAACATATAAGGTAAAGAGACGAATCAGGAATAATGCCTAAGTTAACTTTTTTTACACTTTTTTTTTTTTTTTTTTTACAGAGAGGAAGGGAGAGGGAGAGAGAGTTAGAAACATCGATGAGAGAGAAACACGGATCAACTGCCTCCTGCATACCCCCCCACCAGGGATGTGCCCGCAACCAAGGTACATGCCCTTGACTGGAATCAAGTCGAAACCAGTTTGGCTCAGTGGATAGAGCGTTGGCCTGTGGACTAAGTTAACTTTTTTTAAGTTAGTCCAGAGGCCGACAATACGTTTTGTATTGATTACAGAGAGAGAAAGGAAGGGAGAAGAAGGGAGGGAGAGAAAGGAGGGAAGCATCAATGTGAGAAAAGTCGATCACATGACTCCCATACACATCCTGATTAGGAATCAAACCTGAAATCTGGGTATGTGGCCTGAGCAGGAATCAAACTCAAGACCCTTCGGTACATGGGACGACACTCTAACCAACTGAGCCATACCAGTCAGGTCAGTTTTCTCAGTCAACTTTTGACTTTAGCAAATGGGTGCCATTAACTGAGATGGGGACAACCAAAGTAGGAACAAATTCACAGGATGAAAGAAGGGAGTAAATGTTATAGTTCAGTAGAGATTTAAATATGTAGTTGGACAACATAGCCTAAGTATTGAGAGATATTCCATCATTTGAAGGTTTGAAAAAGAAGTAGTCATCACAGGAGATTGTCCATGATCAACCAGGGAAAAACCAAGAATGTGGTGTCTGGGAAGTCAAGAATCCATGTCTTAAGGAGGCTGAAGGACAGAGATGTCAGCAAGATTGCCAAATAAGATGTCTCTCACTCATATTCCCCCACCCACCCTTACCCCATCAACAGGAGTCCACCTATGAACTAGAGGTGGGAGCTCTGAGATCCTGTTCCAGCTCCTCTCAGCTATGTTCTAGAGCCAGATTATGAAATCTTCTAATAGTCTAAGACCAAGGAGAACTGTTTTGAGAAAACAAACTTGGACCCAGACAGCTGATTTACTGACCATTATCCCATCTACAGACCCAAAAAACATTTTCATAATGCTCAGGACTTGGCTACAATCCAACTTAACTCAATCCTGTCCCCACCATCTACCAAGAAAATGGAGAGGAGCTATGCCCACCTATGCTTTGGTCTCAGCTGTGGACATCAAAGCTGCCTATGAACTAGATCCAGCCATGGTCCAGGAACCACTGCAGGTAAACCTGTCAAACTATAGATTTTGAAAGGGCCTTGCAACTGGGTTCCAACTCATCCCAACCGCAGTCCACTAATATTCCTGCTGCCACGGGGACCCAGCAAGCTACATTCTCAACTGAGCAGCTGGAGATACTCAAAGGGTCTGATCCTCAGCTCCAGTCTCTCTCAGCCAGTCCACAGCAGTACTGCTAGTGCAGGGACCTGGTGGGAGACACTCATGTCTGCATTCCAGGAGACCCTGGAACAACTCCCCACTCTCTACCTACGTTAGAGAGCAGTCTAATCCACCAAGGGACCTGGAAGGAGACATGTCCATCTGCGCTTCCAGGACCAGGTCTACAGACCTCTATCTTCTTTGAACCTGATAACAGCTCTGGGGCTCAATTCCAGCCCCTCTCAGCTATGTTCCAGAGCCAGTCCTGCCCATCAAGAGACAAATCCAGGCACCAGACAAGAGCCCCTTCCTATCTGCAAGGACCTGAAAGGAGCCACATTCATCTGTACATCTGATAACAGGCCCACCTTCTAAAGCCCAACTGTGGACACTGAAGCAGAACCTTATCCCAACAACATCCAACTAAACAATGCACTAGAGTCAATCCTTTCCACCAAAGGACCAGATAGGATCTACACCAGCCTTAGCAACAAGTCCACCAACCATGGATAGCACCACAGACCCAGCAACAGCCTCATAACAGCTCCAACCAAGCATGATCGCAATCCAGAGGCAATCCCATCACAAGGGGACCCTCGAGAAGAAAGTCTTTACCTGCCAAGAGCAGTCTATAAAGAGTTGTTTGCTCTTTCAAATGCACAGACACCCAGGAAAGGTAATATGTATATCATCCTAATCAGGCAAGTATCACACCACCAAAGGATACTAATAAAGTTCCACTAATCAGCTCTAAGAAATGGAAAGCTATGACAATTATGATTTGCCTGACAATTTAAAATAATCAATTAAAGAAAAAGAAATTCAAGAGAACAAAGAACTAATTGAAATGAGGAAAACAACACATGAACAAAAATTAGTTTAATAAAAAAATAGAAACTGTAAAAAAAAAAAAAAAAAAGAAAGAAATCCTAAAGCTAAAGAATAAGACAGAACTGAAAAATTCAATAGAGTCAACAACAGACTTGATCATACAGAAGAATCAGAGAACTGGAAGGCAGATCATTTGAAATTAGCCAATTATAGCAACAAAAACAAAAACAAAAAAGAGATATTAAAAAGACTAAAGAACTTTGTGAATTATGGGACACTACCCAACACATGAACATTCACATCATGGGTGTCGCAGAAGAGAGAAAGGAAGAAAAAACATACTTAAAGAAATACTAAGTGCTGGTGAGGATGTGGAGAAAAAGGAATCCTCTTGCACTGCTGGTGGGAATGCAGACTGGTGCAGCCACTGTGGAGGACAGTATGGAGTTTCCTCAAAAAACTAAAAGTGGAACTCCCATTTGACCTAGTAATCCCACTTCTAGGAATATATCCCAAGAAATTAGAAACACCAATCAGAAAGGATATATGCAACCCTACATTCATAGCAGCACAATTTACAATAGCTAAGATTTGCAAACAGCCTAAGTGCCCATCAGCAGATGAGTGGATTAAAAAACGGTGGTACAGCTACACAATGGAATACTATGCTGCTGTAAAAAAAAGAACTCCTACCATTCACAACAGCATGCTACGCAAAATAAGCCAGTTGGAGAAAAATAAATATCACATGATCTTACTCATTTGTGGAATATAAAGAACAACATAAACTGATGAACAAAAATAGATCCAGAGACTGAGAAGCATCAAACAGACCATCAAACCTCACAGGGAAGGTAGGGGAGGGTGGGGGTGGATTGGGGGGGAGAGTAATAGATCAACCAAAGGACTTATATGCATGCATATAAGCATAACCAATGGACATGGGCCCTGGGGCAGTGGGATATGTCCTGGAGGGTGGGAATGGCCAGGGAGAGGTCGATGGAGAGAAAGGAGATATATGTAATACTTTAAACAATAAAGAATAAAAAATACCAAATTTAAAAAAAAAAAAAAAAAATGAACAGTTGAAAACTTACCAAATTTTGGAAGAGTTATGAATATCCAAGGTAAGCTTAAAAGTTATGAATATGAGTTATGAATATGAAAAGTTATGAATATGAGTTATGAATAAGAGTTATGAATATCCAAGGTAAGCTTAAAAAACTCTAAGCAAGATAAACCCAAAGATTACTCCAAGGCACATATTCAAAATATTAAAGGTCAAAGACAAACTTATTCTTCCAAAGAAGCAAGAGAAAAACAATTTCTCACATAGAAGGAATCCCATAAGAAAATCAGCAGATTTTTCTGCTGAAATCATGCAGGCCAGAGAGTGAAGTGATATATCAAAGTGCTTAAAGATAAAACCGTCAACCACATAAAAGCCAGCCGGGACCGGTTTGGCTCAATGGATAGAGCGTTGGCTTGGGGACTGAAGGACCCCAGGTTCGATTTCGGTCAAGGGCATGTACCTTGGTTGCGGGCACATCCCCAGTAGGGGGTGTGCAAGAGGCAGCTGATCGATGACTCTCTCATTGATGTTTCTAACACTCTCTCTCCCTTCCTCTCTGTATAAAAATCAATAAAATATATTAAAAAAATTTCTTTAAATGTAAACGGACAATTCTCTGATCAAGATACACAATGGTTGAATAGCTTCATTCAGAAATGAAGGGGAGGTAAAGACATTCAGACAAACAAAAGTTGAGGTAGTTCAACAACATTAGACTTGCCTTAAAAGAACTGCTAAAAGGATTTCTTCAAGTTAAAATGAAAAGACACTAAGTAACAGCATAAGACATATAAAACACTTAACAGGTAAACATATAGTCAAAATCAGAATACCCTGAACTGTAACAATTGTGCAAAATTCACTTTTATCTCTAGTATAAAAGTTAAAAAAACAACTATAACCACTATGGCTACAATGATTTGCTAATGTGTTAATATAAAAAGATTTAAAAGTATAGCATCAATAGTGTAAAATGTGAGGTGAGAAGAAGAAAAAGTATAGTTTTTGTATATGGTAAGTAAATTGTTAGCAGCTCAAAACAGTCTTATGTTTCATGTAAGCCTCATGGTAAAAATAAAGAAAAAATAATCAAAAAGGAAGACAGCAATGAACTAAGAAACTTGTAAAAAAAAAAAACAAAACAAAAAAAAACAAAAAAAAAAAAACCTAAACTAAACAAAAATTATAACACTAAGTCCTTAACTATCAATAATTACTTTAGCCTGGCCACCTTGGCTCAGGGGTCGACCTATATGAACCAGGAGATCCCAGTTTGATTCTCAGTCAGGGCACATGCCTGGGATGTGACCTCAATCCATGTGCAGGAGACAGCCAATCAATGATTCTCTTTCATCACTGATGTTTCTATCTCTCTCTTCACTCCTTTCCTGTCTGAAATCAATAAAAATATATTAATAATAGTAACTACTTTAAAAGTAAACCGACAGCCGGGACCGGTTTGGCTCAATGGATAGAGCGTCGGCTTGGGGACTGAAGGACCCCAGGTTCGATTTCGGTCAAGGGCATGTACCTTGGTTGCGGGCACATCCCCAGTAGGGGGTGTGCAAGAGGCAGCTGATCGATGACTCTCTCATTGATGTTTCTAACACTCTCTCTCCCTTCCTCTCTGTATAAAAATCAATAAAATATATTTAAAAAATTCTTTAAATGTAAACGGACAATTCTCTGATCAAGATACACAATGGTTGAATAGCTTTAAAAAACCAGGACCCAACAATATACTTACTACCTATCAGAGACTTATTTCACCTTTAAAGAAACAGATAGGCTAAGTACGTAAAGAGATATTCATGCAAATGGTAACTAAAAGAGATGAGGAGTAGCTATACTCACATCAAATAAGACTTTCAGTTAAAATCAGTTACAAGACAAAGAAAATCATTATAGAGGCGTCAATTCATCAAGAAGCTCTAACAATTGTAAATATATGTGTACCAACATTGGCATACATACATATTTAAAGCAAATATTAACAGAACTAAAGGGAGAAATAATAATAGCAGGGGGCTTCAATACCCCCAGTTGCAACACTGCATAGGTCATCCAGACACAAAATTAACAAAAAAAAATAGTGAACCTGAGTAAATGGAACCTGAGTACTAAGTGGCCCTAACAGACATACACAGAACACTATCCAATAGCACCAAAAACATTCTTCTCAAACTCACATGGAACATTTTCCATGATAGATCACGTGTCAGGCCACAAAACAAGCCTTAAAAATTTAAGAATACTGAAATCATATCAAGTATCTTTTCTAAACACAATGGTATAAAACTATAATAGAAATCAGTAACAGGAAGAAAATGGAAAAATTCACAAATACAAGGAAATTAAACAACACACTCCTGAACAGCCAATGAATCAGGGAAATTAGAAAATATTCTGAAACAAACAAAAACACAACATACCCAAAACTTAAGAAGGTGGATGTAGCAAAAACAGTTCTAAGAGGGAAGTTCATAGTAATAAATGCCTGCATTAAAAATGGTCTCTTGCCGAAACTGATTTGACTCAGTGGATAGAGCTTCGGTCTGCAGACTGAAAGGTCCTTGGTTCGATTCCGGTCAAGGACATGTTCGTTGGTTGGAAAAGGGTGTGCAGGAGGCAGCTGGTCGATGTTTCTTTCTCTTCGATGTTTCTAGCTCTCTATCCCTCTCCCTTCCTCTCAATAAAAAAATCAATAAAATATATATATTTTTAAAAAATGTCTCAAGCCCAGCCAGTGTGGCTTAGTGTTTGAGCATTGACCTGTGAACCAGGAGGTCATGGTACAATTCCCAGTCAGGATACGTGCTCAGATTGCAGGCTCAGGTGTACTGGAGGAAGCTGATCAGTGACTCTCTTTTAATTGATGTTTCGTTCTCTTTCTCCCTCTCCCTTCCTCTCTGAAATCAATAAAAATATATTTTTTAAAGTCTCAAATAAACAACCCAACTTGAAACATCATGAAATTAGTAAAAGAAACTAAGCCATACTTTGCAGAAAGAAGGAAATAACAAAGATTTGAGCAGGGGGAAAAAAAAGATATAGAGACTATAAAGAAAATAGAAAAAAAGAAACTAAAGTTGGTTTTTTGGAAAGATAAACAAAATGGAAAAACCACAGCGAAGGCTTACATTATAAACAAAAGAGAAGACATCACAAGAGAAACACCAGAAACCCAAAGGATCCTAAGAGACTACTATGAACAACTAACGCTAACGAACTGGATAGTCTAGATGAAATGGATCAATTCCTAGAAACATACATCTTACTAACAAAGAATCATAAAGAAATAGAAAATGTGAACAGACTAAGAACAACTAAAATGATTGAAGCAGTAATCTAAAACCTCCCAACAAAGACTGAGACCAGATTTCACTGGAGAATTCTACCAAAGATTTAAAAAAGATTAATGCCAATCCTTAAACTCTTCCAAAAAGTTAAAGAGAGAAAACCCCAAATTCATTTATGAGGCTAGCATTACCCTGATACTAAAGTCAGATAAGGACACTAAATGAAAGAAAACTACAGGCCAATATCCTTGATGAATACAGATGCAAATGTTCTCAGCAACATACTAGCAAGCAATTAAACAATGCATTAAAAGAATTTTATATCTTCTTGTACAAGGATGCAAGGATGGTTCAACATATACAAATCAATAAATATGATAAACCACTTTAACAAAATAAAGAATAAAAAACATGATCCTCTCAATAGAGTCAGAAAAAAGTATTTGAGAAAATTCACCCCCTTTCATGATAAAAAGCTCTCCTGACAATACCTAACATCTAGCCCAGCCTGTGTGGCTCAGTGGTTGAGAGTCTACTCATGAATCAGGAGGTAGAGATTCGATTCCTGGTCAGGGCTCATGTCCAGGTTATGGACTCAGTCCACGGTGGGGGGGAGGGAAGAGGAGCAGGAGGCAGCTGATCAATAATTCTCTCTCATCATTGATGTTTCTATCCCTCTCTCCCTCTCCCTTCCTCTCTCTGAAATCAATAAAAACATATTTTAAAAAAAACAAAACAACAACCCACAAACCTAACATCTAGCCCAATTTCTAAATCAGATGTGAACTATGCCTTTTCAAATATGCTAGCTTATAGCAAACAACTTTTCCTCCTTGGAGGGCTTAGTATTTGCACATTTCCTTGGTACTCCTTTAGCTACTTGTTATGGTTGTTTTCTTTTACATGTGTCTTATCTCCCCACTTGGAATGTCAGTACTTTAAGAAAGATTAATATACTTTTAAAAATCCTGACAATGTCATGACTTAGTACACTCATTATTAATAATTAACTTCCAGCCTTTTTTTTCTATGACCCCAAAAATCCTTTGTTTACATACTTTCATTCCCAACATTCTTATAAAAATTCCCATTCCATATTTAAAGTATTTTCATACATACTGGGTGGATCAGCATTTTCATCTCCAGGAGCGTCTGAAGTTGACAACAACTATGAGACATAAGAAAAATTAATAGGTAAAATAAAAAATTTCAAATAGCCTGCACAAAGCAACATTAAGTTTTCTGTAGATAATGTACATACTCTTTGAAAACTAGAAAATTTACATAATACTTTGCTTGCCCTGGCCAATGTGGCTCAGCTGGTTGGAGCATTGTCCTATGCAACAAAAGATCGCTCGTTTGATTCCCAATTAGGGTGTACACCCAGATCACAGGTTCAATCTCCAGTCGGGGTGCATGTGGGGGCAACCAACATGTTTCACTTTACATTAATGTTTCTATCTCTCTCTCTCTCCTTTCCAGTCTAATATCAGTAACATATTAAAATATAATTCTTCACTTTGCTTTGTTTTATCTTAATCATCATAAAAATGTCCTTAAACTTCACCTACTTCCAAACTAGAATTCAAGTATTTCTCTAGTTTCAGGAAAGTAAAAAAAAGTATAAATGATTTAACATTCCTTTTAGAAAGTCATATTTCAAATGGGCCACTCTCAGAGGTTCCAAACCCCAGACAATTGTATTTTCTTTTCTGGAAAAGATGGAGGAGACATTGAAGATCCTCCTCCAACTTACTACAAATTGTACAATAGTATGTTGAGTGATTTCCAAAAAACTAAAAACAAAAGATAACCTTCTTTATAACCCCTTAACAAGGTAGTTAAAAAAATAAAAATTAAAGATATTAATATGAATAGAAAACCTGTAACTATACCTGAAAAACAAAGATAACAATTACTTCTAAAACTTTTTGCAATTATTATTTAGGAGAATTAAATGTTGTCAATTATAAAAATCTATTTACCTGCTCAAGAAGATGAGGATACCTGGCTTGAATCTCATCAACGAACCCCTGTCCTTTCATGCGTATTAAGAACTCACACCTGAAACAGAGAGACAACTTTTTAAAATTGTTTTAGATCAAATATATAACCTGATCATTCTAGAAAAGGGGCTTTCATACTTTTTGTCCCCATAATAGAAACTTTACATCACAATGTAGCGTATATACATACCTAACAGAAACAAAATTATTAAATGTGGACTTTTACTATGTGCTGATGCATTCTGAATTTTCTACTTAGATCCTTTACAACAATAAAAGGGTCTAGATTTCCAAAAGGAACACAAACTGAGGCTTGAAAAATGCTGTTCTAGACAATTTGGCAGTTTAACATAGTTTCAGAAACTATAATCCAGTATTCCTAAAATGTGATCTTTCATAATATAATAACAGCTAATCTTTCTTAGTGTTCATTCTTCCATTCATTTAAAGCACAAATCCACCCTCCAAAAAATAGTGAACCAAATATTTTCATCTATAATGTGACAGTATTTCCCAAGTACTCATTTTTCAAATTACTAAGATTTCTCAAAGGTGTTCAGGAAGTTCATATAACATCTGTTTCCATTTCATTCCTTTTGTTTTCAACAAATAGTGCTAGACAACTAGATATCCATATGCAAAGAACAATAAACTTCAATCTATTCCCATCCTATATACAAAAATAAACAAAACAAATCCTGTATGTAAATATAAAATGTAAAACAGAAGAAAACCTAACAGAAAATCTTTTTGTCCTCATGTTAGGTACCAAATTCTTAGATAAAAAACCAATATCAACCAAAGCCGGTTTGGCTCAGCGATAGGGTGTCGGTCTGTGGACTGAAGGGTGCCAGTTGGTTGCGGGCACATCCCGGTAGGGGGTGTGCAGGAGGCGGCTGGTCGATGTTTCTCTTTCATCGACGTTTCTAGCTCTCTGTCTCTCTCCCTTCCTGTCTGTAAAAAAATCAATAAAATATATTAAAAAAAAAAAAAAAAAAACCCAACATCATAATCCACAAGAGAAAATTGATAAACTGACATCATCAAAATTAAAAATGTCTGTTCATCGCTGTTAAGAAAATGAAAATCCACGGAACATCCTACATTTTCAATCAAAATAATTAAAGTTCAAATTGTAGGTTTTAAAAGGCTCATTCCCCAATAGCATAAGAGAAGCTTTGTGATATTGAGATGTAAATTTAACCAGGCCAGGATTCCTACTTCTTTAAGCAGTTTTGCGTAGGAATACCTTTAAAAACAATTACCTTGGGAACCACTTGGCATGTTCTATCCATGGGTCATCTCCAGATTCCCAACACCTTAAGCCACCATCACAGCAAAAGCATTTGACATCATCGTTTCGACCTAAGGAAACAAAAAGACTAAAATTAAACACACACGTGTTCTCATATGTCAATTAAAATGAACTAGATACAATGTAGAGCTATGTAAGTTTCTTACCCACATAATAGAAACCAGCACTTGCAAGCTGCTCAGGTTGAACTGGAACATGAGAAGGCCAGTACATAAATGTCCTCAGTCGGGCCGCATGTGTCTGCATGCTCAAATTTGAAATGCTAAACCTCAGTGTGTCTACAGAATTCTCCAAAAATGGGCAGTTGGGGAAATGTCTCCGGTGTTCTGACATAGCATCATCCTTTGGTTCCCAGTTGCTTAGTTTCCCACCACAAGCAAAGCAGGCTACCCTATCTCCAGGTCCTATGTAATAAAAACCAGCTCTTGCCAATTCTGATGGTGACAAAAAAGTTAATGGCCACGGGTGGTAAGTAAGCAATCTGGCTTGTTCAGTGCTCATCGCATAACTGTACGGGTTAGTCCTCAAGTGGGACAAGTCTTCAACTGCTCTAGAATGAAGAGGGTTTGATGAAAGGTTGGGATAAGAACCACTGAATGATGCACGTTGTTCCATAGTAGGAGACAATGAATGTGGAAAACTGTTTCTCACAGGAGAAGTACTCCTTAAGGTGGATCCCAAACCAGTAACAGAAACCAGATTCTGGATAAAGCTGCAGCTAGGATAGAGCTGTTTATGTTTTTCAATAGGATTGTCTCCTTGTTTCCAGTTATCCAGCATCAGGCCACAGCAGAAGCATTTGACCTTGTCGTTCACACCAGTGTAATAAAAACCAGCGCGAGCAAGACTCCTCTCTGAGACAGGAACACCGGTGGGGAAGGTGGAATACGTAGACATTCTGTAGAGTTCACATGAAAAGTCATATTTCATCTTGTGTTTGTTGTCAATTGTCCAATTTGACAAGATCGTACTATCTTCCATTATAATCTTTTTTGATATGAGGGACTTGGGACAAGTCGTTGGGAGGTAGTTTTGTGTGTGAATGATTTTACTTCTAGATGGGCAAAAACTTTCACATGAAATTTCTCATCTCTTCATACTAAATTTTTACTGTAAAAAAAGAATCAAATGATAGGCGCCTACTTAAAATTCACTACGCCTAGTTTAGTGGATTTACACCTACGTTTACACTTGGGTAGTATCTATATTACCAAGATACTCTGTAGTACTCTTTGGGATTATATTAACTCTTTTAGGTAACTTAGATGCTATTAAGTCATTATTTAGTGTAACACTAATACAATGACCTGAAAGAAGTTGATTCACTTCTAAAAATATTTAAAACTAACTGACTTTTCGAGGAGGTTTATATTCCCAAAATTTTAAACAACTACAGAATACCTAAGTTTGTTTTTGGTTGTAACTACAAAGCCTGGTTATCAAGCCAATTACTGATTATGTTATAAAAAGAAAAAACTTTATGCAGGCTTCTTTCTCTACAAGCACCTTAATATAATTTCCAAAAATAAAAAATCTTATTTTAGTCTAGTAAACAAGAATTAAAGTCTTCATATGGTCACATTATCTAAAGGCTAATTCACACAACTTAATACCAGAATATTTACTTAAGTGGGTTATATTAGTTTCAGATAGTTTGGGGGGACATCAATACCCACAAGCTTTGGTGAACTTATTCCTGTTATGCTGTGTATGATGTCAAATGAAAGTAATTTTGCTTAAAGCTCACAAACTACTAATTTCTCCTCCTTTGTTAATTATTGTCTATGTTTCCATTTCCTGCAGCATCATATTATGTTGTTTTTCTCCCTAACTCTGCATACCACTTTATTATGCTTGATCAATTGAAGGTATTTTCTCTATAAACTTAACTAGTTAACCATAAAATTTCCACAGCAGAAACTTTCTACTCTGCCTTTAAAAATTAACCTGCCTTTCATTTAAGGACCATACACCTATATCATTCATTTTGTAAGAACAGATAAATAAATTTATCAAGGTAACAGCTTGTCCTTTGTAGTATTATCATAAATGCCCAATAAACAACTGTATTACATAATGTGCCAGTAATTAACTTTACTATTATTTCTGAAAACCCTTCATATTTAAAAAATATAAATCATACACAAAATTACACTCCACAGAGTTCAAGCTATATCCTTTTATAAAGTTTCTGGGTCACCATAATGGAATTTATTACTGCAGCAGGGGGGAAAATGAGGGGGGAAAAGTGGTCTCTTCAAAGCTGTTAAACCTGGGGGGGAGAAAAAAAAAGCTATTTTAGAAAACTATTTTCATAGTAAAGAGCATTTACACACTAGCATTCAATTTACTCAATAAAGTCTAAAAATGATTGACACTTTAGAAAATACATGTTAATTCCAGCAATTTGTCCCAAAAACTTTCTAACTGGGAGAGCTTTAATTAAAATAAATGCAATAGAGACAGGCCCCTTAGCACTAAGTACAGATCTCTGTTTTAAACATACAACTTTAAAGGCAGATGGACATTTACTTAGATCAAAACATTTTGTCCTTGGTCTCCTCCCTTTTTTTTTTTCTTTGGTGACAACTTTTAATAGTTTAAGAATTTCCCTGGCAAAAGGAGGCAGTGGCGAAAGAGAGACACCCATCAGCAACGTTGGAGCAGTCATTAGACAGTTAACTTTTTTTTTTTTTTTTTTTTAAGTGCCACGTCTCTCCAGGACTTGGGCAAGCTGACCAGTGACGAGTGCAATGCACCAGGAATTCGCGAATACAAACCTTTAAACACTCCACAATTCCCTCCCAATTCTAAAGCAGCTGCATCAGACGGCGCCTGGAAAACAGAGCGGAGCACAAAGGCCTGGGAGCCCTGGCCTCGGGGCCCGGACCACTATCTGCAGGAAATGCCTCCGTTACAGCAGGACGCGATCTCACCCCCTTTAAGTTACACACTTTTACCCACAAGCCTCGTGCTGTGGATTCTGACCTCTTCTATGCAAACTGCAGCTGGCGGGGGGGACAGTCTGGGAAGAGGGGGAAAAAGAGCAACTGGGGGATTCACCCACGGACCCCCCGGGGCCGTGCTCACAGCTCACAAAGGGCCAGCAAGGCGCGCGGCGCAGCTGAGACTCATCGACTCGCCGCCAACAAACGCCTTGGTTCCAACCAATGAAAAAGGGGTCATAAAATAAAAAATAAAAATCTTTTTTTTTTCTCTCTCTCTCTCCCTGCAAACACTCTGGGAGGAAAAACATCTTTTCTTAGTCCAAGTCCAAGAGGGCCGGAAAAGGGGGCGGGCGGCCGGAGCGGGCAGGCCAACGGGTCCATTTTTTAAACATTGTTTTCGACCCGCAGGGCTTGGCAGTCGGAGCTCCCGAACCCAAGGAAAGCCCGGGCGAGAGCGGGGAGCGCGGGCAGCGCAGCGCACGGGACGCCCGTCCGGGGAAGCGGGCCCCGCGCCCCAACCCGCCTCGCGCGGTGCCCGCGACGGGCGCACTCACCTCGGAGACGGCGCGGCTGCCCTTCGGCCTCCACACCCAGCGGCAGCGGCGCCCACGCGACGTGCAAGCCGGCCCTACAGGCCCCGACAGGAGCTCCCGAAGTCCACCCCAGCGCCCAGGCCCCGCCCACACTGACGCACGGCGCCGGTGACGTCAGCGCGCCCTGCGGGCTTGCGTCACCGCCGCGCCGGCGCGCCGGGGAGTCTGCGGTCGGAGCGCTGGAGGCGACGCGCGTTCCGCTACGGTCGGTGGGTCAGCCGGCAGCGAGGGAGGCGGCACCGTGCCCCGCGGCTGGTGCTCCGGCTTTTAACCTCGAGGTTTGGACGCCTCTGACCTTTCCTTCTCGCCTTATCTCTAACATTCTTCCGTGGGGGACGTGATGCCCCGTGACGCGGAGAATTTGAATCTTGGGAAATCCTGAGGAAACGCCCCAGCGCGGGGCGGGGGGGGGGGGGGGGGGGGATGCGCGCCTTTGTGGTCGCGTCACCGCGCAGCTAAGGGATCCGGCTCCGGGCCGCGGGCCGCCGGCGTGACTCCTGCATCGGAGAGGAGCGTCAACCATTTTTGCAAACAATTGTAACAATTATAATTGTTTTTAAAGCCGTGGTAACCGTGTTTTTTCATCCCCTTGCAACAGCTCGCCGTGGACATGGAAGCCAGCAGAAGAAGGGTTGGGAAGGAGAACAGCGTCAGCATCATTTTGAAGGCCTGATTTTTATCATCGTTTGGGGGGGGGGGGGGGATACTATTATAATTATTAAATATTTCATATTGAACCGGTGCGCCTTTTACTTTTAAACTTTTGTTTAAAACTCTCGAATTTCGGTCCTAGAGATGGCACTAAGGAGAGTGTGTCCTTATTTCAAAACTCTTGGCGTTGCCCGTCATGGACGTGTTTGGTCCCACCCCCGCCTCCATCCCCATGAATGCCACCGGCGGGTGTCACAGAAAATGTCATGTTGCAGCGAGCACATTTCTTCCTTTCTTTTTTTTTCCTTTTTTTAATATATTTTATTGATTCTCCACAGAGAGGAAGGGAGAGGGATAGAGAGCTAGAAATGTTGATGAGAGAGAAACATCGACCAGCTGCCTCCTGCACACCCCCCGCCAGGGATGTGTCCGCAACCAGTGTACATGCCCTTGACGGGAATCGAACCCGGGACCTTTCAGTCTGCAGCCCGGCGCTCTAGCCACTGAGCCAAACGGTTTCAGCGCGAGCACATTTTTTCATGCGTGTTCCGTGAAGACGCCGTTTGGCAGTGACAGCAGACGCCTTCTTTCAGGGGAACTCCAGGGCAAACATTTCAAAAACTTCCAAATAGCAGGCCACTTAGGTAAGGCAGCCGGGAATTCCAAGATCCTGAACCATTTCCCATTTTCTGTCCCCGTCCTTTCTGTCTGCCACTGGGTCACAGGACAGAAGGTCTTTATGTTCCATTGTTAATAGGATAAAGAAAGTATTTGTAAGTCTGTGACTCAAAGAAAAGAAATGCCATGGGCTCCGAATGACTACAAACTTCCAAATATGGCAGGTGACTTTTGGTAATAGTTCAGTATTTAGTTCAAGTCACTGTTTCTCGGAAAGTTACAGAATCTTCCTTAGATACGTGGGAAATATATATAGCAAGAATTGTTCATTCTGAATTCAAGGTTATTTCTCTTTTTCAGTTCTTGTCCTGACCAAAAAAAGATAATGAACATACTTCAGTATAAGGGAAAATTCCAATTTCAAACATTCAAAAGTATGTAATAAAAGTATGTAAAAAAAAAATGTTTGTAATACCTTTCAGTTATAATAAATACTACTTTGTAACTTTAATCTTGTATAAGCTGTAATGTGTTAAATTTATTCAGTTAAACTTTTTCATATTTTGATTGTAGAGTTGCTGGTGATTTTATTTTATTTTCAATATATTTTTATTGATTTCAGAGAGGAAGGGAGAGAGAGAGAAAGGCAGAAACATCAGTGAGGAGAGAGAATCATTGGTCAACTGCGTCCTACATGCCCTCTACTGGAGATCAGCCTGCAACCCAGGCATGTGCCCTTGACCAGAATTGAACCCAGGAACCTATGCTCTATCTTTTGAGCCAAGCCGGCTAGAATGAGTTGCTGGTGATTTTTAAAAAATAAGTTGTATATTTCTATTGAAGTTGCCATCCTAATATTTTTCACATTTATGTAGAAAAGATATTTACAGGATTCAAGACAATTTTAAGGAAGAAAATAAGATTGAAGGGATTTGTCTACCAGATAATGAGTTGTATATAATAAAGCCACAGTAATTAAGACAGTATTGTAGTAACACAAGAATGGACAAATAAAAGAACAAATAAAGTGTGTGTACAGATAGGTAAATAGATATAGATATAAAGATATAGAACATATATATACATC